TCTCCATACAGGAGGCGTCTTGAAGCTGTCATTGACAACAAAGGCTTTTGTACAAAGTATTAGATAAATTCCAGTAAGTGTGTGCCATTCCACATTATTACAAATAACTTCATTTCTGGACATTTATGGTTTGATTTCTTTGTATGTATGGATCACTTGGGTTGTTACCGACATCTGGTGAAAATTTCATGTCATTAGTACCTCTAGCAATATATTTACTGAGAAAAATGGTGACCTGTTCAATACTTATTTTACCTGCTGTATTGTCACCTGGTGAATAAGTGACACTTATGAACAAAATGTGTGACAGCTTTCACCGTCAGCTGTTAACATTAACATTGATCAATAACATTTATAGACCTCAGTTAGTGCTTCTAAATTTAGCCTATACATTTAGCAAGTGCTAATCCACTAATAAATGTTAAAATTAGCAAAATCCCTAAAGTACTAATCAGGAAATTAATTCACCTATTAGTGCTTTAGTGGAACTGTGCCCACCACTGCAAACAACCAAAGTAAAGATGACAAAACAAAAACAAGTCACTGCCTTTTATATGAAATAATTTTTTCATCCTCACAGTACTTTCAAACTAAAGTTGATCCTAAAAGATACCACCATTCTTGACAAAGCCAGGAAAGTTGAAATGGTGGTAAAAGGCAGAAATTATACTCTAACAAAATAACAGAATGAAATGTGTTTTCAAGTCATGGCAGCCATATGGTCAACCCTCAACTTTGCTCCTGTTTGCAGCTGAACACAACGATTAATTCTAAGTAAAACAGGAATCTTCATTTCAGCTAAAGTAGTTAAAAACAGTTCACAACAAAAAGTGATTTATGAGCAGAGTATAGTTGTCAGCAAAGACTTGATTATGTGTCATGTTTTTTAATGCAGGACTTTAAACTCAGACGTCCGGATGGAGTCTGGCATCATTCGTTTAGTCGCAATAAATATAAATACTTTCTGGAGCAACCAACTTCCCTGATGGGAGCTGGCAGGTCAGCTGGCCATATGAACTATTTGACAACATGTGTTCTGTTTTCTGGAGAAATGAGCAATTGATAAACTTATTAGATGTGTTTTTATCATGATGTGTGTAAATTCACATCACTGATGATTTTAAAAGTAATTGGCTAAAATATTGGAAATTTGAAATATATGTCAAAAATATTATGTTTTTCTTGACAATCACCCGATAAACTGGATTTTCTTTATGTCTTTTGTCCATGCAGGGATATTTCCTTTCTTTGTGATACTGGGGTTACTCAGAAGAAAAATGCTACCCTTCCACCTCTGAGGGACAACAGTGGCTTTGGGGAGACACAGGTGAGCTGCTTTAACTAGTTCTTTTTCCAGGGTCACCTGTCACATGTGCTGTTCACATGTAGGACACACATCAGTTTCTTAAAGACATGACAGAGTAAAAAACAGAAGCAATATTGAAGGAATTTATGTTATATTTTATTGAACAGTGTCCCTGAGTGCCATGAAATGCAACTTCAAATTATTATTATTATTATTATTATTATTATTATTAT